CCGCCCCGCGGCTCGGGGCCCCCTCGGGTGTCCGCTTCCGGGCCGCGCCGCTCCCCGGCCCGGGCCTCACCAAGCGGTCCCGACGGGGCTCCTGCGGCCGTAAAGCGCTTGGCCGGTCCCCGTTCGTGACGTCGTGCTGCGCCCCGGGGACGCTGGAGGATGACGTCTTCATTCCGGCTGGGGTAGCTCAGCGGCTCGGCTCCGGGTAATGAGTGCGGGGGTGGGGGGGGCGGAGCTGCTGGGTCTTGCCAAGTTGGTCCGCAGATCCCAGCGAGCCTGGTCTTTAGGAATAGATCCCTTAAGGTGGGGGCGGTTCCCGTAGAAGGCGATGCTTTAAAGGAAGTCCTTTAAAGGCTCATGATGGTTACTCATTTACATTGATGCCGACTTCATTTCTATATATTTAACTTTATTTATTTATTCATAAGAGACAGAGACACAGGCCGAGGGAGAAGCAGGCTCCACGCAGGAGCCCGACGCGGGACTCGATCCCAGGACCCCGGGGTCACGCCCTGGGCTGCAGGCAGGTGCTCAACCGCTGAGCCATCCAGGTGTCCCCTCCTTTTTTTTTTTTTTTTAAGATTTTATTTATTTATTCATGAGAGAGAGGCAGAGACACAGGCAGAGGGAGAAGCAGGCTCCATGCAGGGAGCCCGACGCGGGACTCGATCCCAGGACCCCGGGGTCACGCCCTGGGCTGAAGGCAGGCGCTAAACCGCTGAGCCACCCGGGCTGCCCCATTTGTCTATTTTTAGTGTCTATTTTCTTTGCGCTGACTAGCCCGTGGGATGAATCTAGGCTTCTCTTTTAAGATCTTATCTATTTTGGGGATCCCTGGGTGGCTCAGCAGTTTGGCACCTACCTTTGTGGCCCAGGGCATGATCCTGGAGACCCCGGATCGAGTCCTGCCTCGGGCTCCCTGCATGGAGCCTGCTTCTCCCTCTGCCTGTGTCTCTGCTTCTCTCTCTCTCTCTCTCTTGTGCCTCTCGTGAATAAATAAAATCTTTAAAAAAAAAATCTTCAAAAAAAATGAGATTTTTAAAAAAACCCACATTTTTGTTCTTGTTGGCGAAGTAAGCTAATCAAAACACTTTTCATCTCTGACACTCTAGCTAATCAACATTGTACCCCGAATCAGCCTCATTCACACTTGGGTGGCGCACACAGACCTGATCCCGTCCGTCTGCATAGGCTAATCCAGAGTCCACAGCATGATGCATAGATTGGTGAGATCCAGCTCAAACGGCTTGACAATTTCCTAACAGAGTTGGTACCTGGAACACCAGAACGAAGTGAGTGACACAGCTGAGAGTTTTTTGTTTTTTTTTTTTTTAATGGATAGAGAAATGCCTTTGGATACTTCTCCAGGCTACAAAATTGTTCCTCCCATAATCCTGAGCAAAACGTGTTGTAATAATAACATGATATTTTCCACTTGTCAAAGCCTTCATATACTTGGAGAAGAGAAAAAAAATTACCCTTTCCTTTGAACAATGGTTTTAATTAAAAAGAAAAAGACCACCAGAGATATCTTTAGTATAGTATATTTATAGGAATGCATAACTTGTGAGATGTACATTTTGAAGTTTCATCCATAACTTAGAACATTTACCATAGTCATAATAACAAGACAGCAGGTCATCACTTTACAACATTACACATGGGTGATTTTGACTTACAAATAAAATATTTACAACCTACCTTTACAAAACGACGTTGTGTGCATACAAAATGAACTGCAGAAAAATTTAAAAATAATAAGACAACCGAAAACCCAGAAGATACACTTAAGGCAGACCAGCAAGACACTGAAATAATTAAGGCTGTGGAATTCTTCTGCACCTTGAAAATATAGAGCTATTTATCAATACTGTGGAGTGATTTTAAATCAATTGTTACAAGCCTGATGGAAGTATGTATTTATATGTATATGTATAATGGTCCCTATGGGGAAACCTATCCATTTATGGATAAGGCCCTTTATCTGAATGGCCAGAGAAGCCCTCCAAACTCTCAAAAAACCTGGTGGGGAGGGGGTCACTCAAAACCAATAGGTGCCAAGGCAGTTTGCAAACCAACTATTAATTATTCAGACATAAAGATACCCCTACCCTAGGTAAACAGCCTAAACGATGGTCCCATTATGTTTTCAGGCTTTGTTCACTTGGCTTTGTGGACTTCAAAGGACAGCAAACAGTTCCCACATGAGTAGACTCTTAACTCCACCCATCAGCCCTAATGGTTTTGAATGGCCCTAAAAGGTTTTCTAGTAGAAAAACTGACCGACCCGGGCTGTCTTCAACTGGATAGATTTCTGCATATGAGCAATAACATATACATACATATTATACACTATATACATGTACAGATGTACATATATCCATATTTTCCAACAGTTTGCACTTTTGATCACTACCGTTCTCTGACTAGGATCTCATTCTGACGGGTATGTTTCGGTTTTCACAGTCTTCACATTTGTCCTAACTACTGGTGTTACTCACCTTCCCCATAGAGTCGGCTGGAGTTTGGCAGAAACAGAAGTAAAAGCACCAGGATCAAAAAAATCAGACACAGAGATGACAGATATGGCTTAAGTTAGTAAGAGAAGATGTATGTTTTGTTAACTTCAAATTCATAACCACAGTCTCTGAGATCATGGTAACAGTCCCCATAATACTCCAGGATGTGCATTTATTTCTTGATAGAAGTCAGGCATTGATGGAACTCTTAATGCTAGCTATCCCTGGGCTAGCAAATTAGCTTGCTTCAGTTAAGTTGGGACGCCAGGAATTTTATTTGCACTTTCCCCCCACCACCCTCCCTCTTTTCAACTAACCTCACCCTCAGAAGTAACAGGTATCTGAAAAGACAGTTGATCTTGATCATTTGAACACAACTGAATCGGATCACATTTTAGAATCTCCCAACGAACAGGCTGACAGGAAAACACGATAGCCTATGAGTATTTCAGGCTTTCATGAGTATTAACTTCAAACTTTCCGTAAGTGTCCCTGAAAGATGAAAATATGTCTTAGAATAATTGCTTTTTCCTCTCCTCTAACTTCTATACACATGGAAAATGCAGAAATGCCTTTCACTGAAAACATGGCCTGTGATATTTCTGTGTTCTATTTCTATATAGATTTCTCCCATGAGTAATATTTCCTATTAAAAATGTCTAGTGCTATGGACAAATTTCAGCTCTTTTTAACTCTCTAGAATTAATGAGACAGCTGAGAGCCTTGTAGTTATTAGAAAACAAATATTAATAGAGTAGCTTCCCTTTTCCTAGTGGAGTATGTATGAACCTTGTCTTTTCTAACCCCCCCCCAGATTTATTAATTTCCAAAGGATCCCTAGACATTAAACAGTTAAGAAAAGCCATAATGCAAATAAACCCATTGGAAGCCCGAATACTATGTTAGTTAGCCTAACCCAGACTCCATAGAGATGCTACACAGGAGAAAAAGGAACAGGAGAAAAAGGAATAAAGCCCACATTTCTCAAAACTGAACAAGGGAGTGGTGAGTTTGCACTTTTGCCCTACTACAGAGACCCCTATGTTTGCAGTATTTCCTCCTCTATCAAATTTGTGGGACAAAGTTTCAGTTAATACATAGATAGAACCACTATCTAGTTTATAATGCATTTGCTCTCTCATGTTCTCACGAATCTAAATTTCCATGCACTTTCACGTAGGCAAGCAAACGAGGAATGACTAACTCATGAGCACTGAATCATGGAGACTTTGGGAAAGCAAATATGCTACTCCTGAAACACCTGATTATCTCAAAAAAAAAAAAAAATCCAAGGTTTTCCTTCCAAAATCCAACAGTTCAATTCACTTCTACACCCATGCATGTAGTTTGCCCCATGTAAGGGATGCTGATGAGATTCTGAGGAAATGAGTTGTGATATCAAACAACACTTTATTCTCACTTCTGCACTTCCAGGGAGGAAAGTGGCTGTTTGAGTTGGTTTCTGTCAATTTTTCCAGAGCGTAAAGCTTGAGAAGAGAGAGTAGCAGTTGCTTTGGAGGGCATCCTATTCTGGGTCTGCCATCAGAAATATTGGAGAAAACAGTTTATTCACACAAGACCATCAGCTCTCCTAACCTTTTTCTGTAGACAAGCTTTTCAAATGATTGAAATTACAGGCTAAGACCAAGTAACATTTAGACAAAGAGCACCTGGTACTTCCAATTAAAATCAATTTACACAATTTATCTTATGAGTTTGCAAATGGTTTCCTAAAACACGAATATTGAAAACCCGGAATGTTCAAAGTCACTATCAATAAAATCCTTAGCACTGGCAGTGTATAGCACTTTAAGAAAATCAAAGTATTTTTTAGACATCACTATGCTATTTTTGCAAGATTCCTATGAGATTAAAGTCCCTCCTCCTTCCACCACCACCAGCGCTCCCATTTTAACAATGGGGACATTTGGGACAGAAAAAACAAAGACTTTCTGTAAGAAAGGACGAATCAGGAAGAGCTGAGGTTGAAACTCAAGAATTCCTGGCCTCACCCTATATTCAGATGTTTTCATTGAAAAGATATTTTAACATAAAGAAAAAAAATGCTGCAGTATCAGTCAATCTAAGTACAACGAGCTTCTTTTTCTCCCATCCTCCCCTCTGAAAGGCACTACTATTTATAAAGGCTTTGTGAATGACAAAGCGACAAAGTGGTGAAGCCAGCTTTTCCTCTGCTTCCTCTACTCCCCCAAAAGTGTTTATGGCTGTGGGGGTCCTGAAGGACACCTCCAACATTACAATTTTTTTTTTCTTAAAAATTTTCCCACATTCAGCTGTAAGTGAATATAAATCTATTTAATTTGAAACAAATGTAAAAGATGCAGTAAATCATATCTTTACAAAAGCATTATGAATTGTCCCTGATCTCTTCCTTCTTTCTGCATCCCACCCATACAAAACGAAACAAACCCCAAAACTCTGTAACGAATATAATAAGCCAAGCAAGAAACTTATGACTTTAACCAACATTAATTTTTCCCATTTCAACTGGAAGTTCACCCGCACGAATTCCTAGTGAAGTTTCGATTTCAAGAACTACGACAATTATGGTGGAAGTGGACCATTTTCTCTTCTTTCCTCTCTCTACCACAAAGTCATAAATATCTGGCAAAACAGGTACATGAAAGTGGTTTCTAATCCTTTTTGCCTCAGGCAGTTGCCCACAGAGCAACCTCAAGTACACTTCCCAGCCCCACCTGCGGGGATTCCTTGTTATTTCCAACTGGCTCTGGAGAATTCTTGAAGCAGGACTGCTCTCTATTGGGGAAGGAACAGGGGCTTTCCAGGCAGCGCACCTCTCTGTTTTCTTTAGTTACCAAACTATATAAAATACACACCCTTTCTCTTAGGGCCTCTATTAAATTTACTCTAGTCTAATGATTGTACTTTGGCTCCAGTTAACAGAATCAGACTACTTTTCATTTCTACGTCTCACCTCTCCTGTCTCCTCACTTCCCCAACGTGAGTACGTGGGAGGAGGGGAGATCCCACGCAAGCCCACACCGGGGGCGTCCCTGGTACGTTCTGATGTAAACGCTGATATCGAAGCTTTGGCTCTAACATTCTGTCAGCTGCCCTCCCACAACAGGATTTCGCGAATGCTCCTCCGCCCTCTCTGCACACTGTCCAAGGCCCTCATCTTCTCCAGCAGAAACTCAGCCCATCTCTTACATGGTCATAAAAACTCTAAAGGACTCAGCAGGGAGTTCTGTAGTCCTCGTACACAGTGGACAAGACAGACCTTGCCAAGCCGCACTTGATGGGTATTCGCAACCCTCAGCACCTGCCCTCCATCCCGAGATGAGCCCTTGGGACCAGGCTCTCTTCTTTTAGGCTAGATCTCACAATGAAGACATGTTTACTAAAAGGCTTTTTTTTTTAGTAAATGTTTTAAATTTTAAAATATTATATCAGATAGTATTTGTATATACACGTAGGTTTAAGTGGAGACGGGGGTTTCGGTCAGGGGCGGGCTCGGAGTGAGGGCGCCTTGGTGACCCAGGTCATTTGGAACTAGGAACCAAATACACGTGGAATCAGTATCCAGGTATTTGGTTAATCCTAAAAATACGAAGTGCTATCTAGTCTTATTGCTTGTACTTCCTACTAATTGATTAATCTATAATCTTGGATGGGATGAGGTGGAGGGTGAAGGAGGAAGTCGACTGATGAGTATTCTCAATTCTACATTTCCGCTGTGGGAAGAAGTGTTTTTATATATTAAAGTTCAGGCTTCGTTTCCACCATTCTTTTTCATTTAGATAGATTTGTAATTCTATTAATCCTCCCTAAACTCTTCTGCCCGCACTTCTGTGCCACACGCTTCGAATTTTCTCCATCCTCTCATAGGAGAGAAGTGATGCCATTCAACCTGATTTGAGGACACATACTTGAGTTACAGTCTTAAAATATTATTTGCATAACAGCAATTTTCAAAACATCCCAGAAAACAAAGGGTGGATCATGTACCAACACAAGAAAAAACCCCAAATCTTCCCCCAAAACAAAGAAAAACAATCATGAAATGCCCAGGCTGAATTTTTTTTTTCCCCACTAGTGGGGTAAAGGGCAGTTCAGAATCACCTCGTGTGGAGAATACATGCCAGAAAGCAGCGTTGGCCTCAAAAGTGCAATTAGTCCTTTTGTTCCGGGGAAATATCAGCGGCTGAGTGGTGATAGATACGGCAATCACAGTTAAAACTCAATGCTGTGTTAGAGTGATATATCAGATTTATTCCATGGCTTCAAAAAGGACTTAGGACCAGGCCTTTAAGGGCCTATATGGCTGCCTCCTTTTGGTAAGTACCCCTTAGCTTCCACAAGGGGTTAGAAATAAAGCAAGCCACCTTTCTGAGCACTGCATTCTACAGCTGTAGAAGTCAGAAAGTGTTGTTCCGTTGTTCGTAGGAACCGTAGGAAAGGTTTCTATTTGCCCTTTTGTGTGAACCTGTTATATTCATTACCGAGTTCGAACCGAGTGTAGACATAAAAATAGCCCCACAACTCTTAACTGTATTTGGACTGATTTCCCGGCAGGCTTTCCTGCCAGATTAACTCTGAGCTGCCAGTGAATTTGGGGGTAGCGTTTCATGTACAGAACCTCTGTTAATCAAATAGTGGTGACTGAGAGGAAAATCTTCTCATTCACAGGTTGCAAAAGGGTAACATTGCTTTCTCTTAATGCACAGGTTCTGGTAAAAGATTTCTATACAAGATTTATAAAATGCTCTAAAAAACTTGTCATCTAATTGTGCTTAGTCAAAACAATGTAATGCTTCGGTAAATAAATTACTGTCTTAACTGGAGCACTCAAAGTTACTTAGGATTGATCTCATATATACCTCTATATTATAAAACTCTGAAACCTGAATGGGATATATTTTACCATATGTGTATATGTATCCTATTAAGAAACTATATCTAAGTAATCTAAACCAGAATAGTTGACATACATGACATCTCTGTTAAATAGAACTTTTTTTTGCTTAAAATTTCAGCAGAGTTACAAACCGTCGATACTCACTACAGTGAGCTTTGGCTTTGCCCAGTTAACCACGCATTTTGGAACGCACTGTTCAAACTTTATAACAGCTAACATTCTTGTCATCCTTGCCCCCCTCTTTAATGCTTTGGGTGACTCTTGGCATCTTTCTCTCTTCTAACTGACCTTCTGAAAAGCCCCTGGATTTAGGATAATTTTACTGCTGCCCAGACCCTGAATAACCACTGACGAGGTTTAAGAGGTACATCTCTCAAGCCAGAGAACTGCATGGAGTGAACTAACAGAATTATTTACAGACATTCAGTCTCGCTTTGGTTCACACTGCACTTCCATGTGGAACCCCAAGGGCTAGGAGACGGCTACGTCCCTTGGTTCACCCGGTTGACAATGTAGCTCTTGACATTGGGAATGGGCCGCACGTCGTTCTGATGCTTGCGGCGCTCGATGAAGCATGCCAGGCGGGAGGTGTCCAGGGGGATCTTGGAGTAGCTGCCGTTATGGGGCTGCAGCCAGGGATGCTGCAGGCAGGTGGCTGCCGTGGGCCTCCTCCGAAAGTCCTCCTGTAGGATCACGTTGATGAAGTCTCTGGCAGCATTGCTCACGCCACAGAAGTATTCGTGCGGGAAGCTGAAGTCCACCCTGCACACGTTGATACAGGTCTCCTCTTTACTCTCATCCAAGAAGGGGGACACCCCACTCAGCATGACATACGTCAGAACCCCGATGCTCCAGATGTCTGTGCCCAGGGAGACGGGGATGCCTTGGATCACTTCCGGGGCAGCAAACTCGGGGTTCCCCAGCAGGTGGTGGATGTGGAAGTGACCCGAGATCTGGACAGCATCCTCCAGGTCGATGAGCTTCACCCGAGGCACTGGGATGCGTAGGTCAATGAGCAGGTTTTCAGGCTGAGGGGACGCGGGCGTGAGGGAGAAGAGAAGGCAAGTTCAGCTCCCCGTCCCGACCACCCGCAGGACTCTGGTGGCTCACCCGTGGCTCTGCTGTTCTGTGACAAAGCCTAGAGCGCGAGAAATTGCCTACGCAGAGCACACAGGCGCCTTTAAACTAGACTGAGTTCTGGGGCGCCTGGGTGGCTCAGTGGGTGGAGCATCTGCCTTTAGCCCAGGTCATGATCCCGGGGTCCTGGGATGGAGCCCCACATTGGGCCCCCTGCTGTAGGGGCAGCCTGCTTCTCCCTCCCCAACGCTTGTGCTCTCCTGCTCTCTCCAATACATAACTAAAATCTTTAAAAAAAAAAAAAAAAAACTAGACTGAATTCTGAGTTTGGGCAGCATTTCAGAGAAGCTGTTTGACATTTCAAATCATGTCTTCTCAACTACCCCCTGCTTCTCCACTGGCTCACAAAAAGAATGAAACGTTCAGTTTGGAAAATGGGGGCTTCTTTTGGAGCACCACAGACCTGACATTTATGGGCTTCCTTCCAAAATGTCAGGGGTAAGAGTGGTAGAAGCTTCCCCACCTTCTCTCACCCCAGATGTCACTGTGACTCCGGTGTGTTCATTAATTCACGGATAACATGCTCAAAGTTCAGTGACGACCCAGTCTCCGTTTAATATTTGTAAGGATTCTAATCCATGTCAATAAAACGACTTAGACTGTACATCCCTCAAGTGTAAATGAGTGACAGGTCAGACTTAGCCATTTCCCTGCGAGGGCAGCTATTTCTTATTACCTTTATGTCCAAATGGGCAACCCTGCAGTTGTGAAGGTACTGGAGAGCTTCCATGATGTCTCGGATGTAGAAGGCTACCTTCTCTTCCATCAGCTCGTCATGATTCATAAGGTAGTCTAAGAGCCGGCCATCGTCCATCCTGGAAGGGGGAGGAAAAGACAAAGGAAGTATGTTTGTAAGGAAATGGCAAACTGATTCATACAAATCCGTCAGAGCTTTAAAATCTCTCCTACTCCCTCTTACAAACGGAGGTCTATGCTGCCACACATGCATATTGTATCTATTTGTTTGCTTGTTTACTTATCTGTAAGATATTACTTATTTATTCATGAGAGACACGGAGAGGAGAGACATAGGCCGAGGGAGAAGCAGGTTCCATGCAGGGAGCCCGACGTGGGACTCGATCCCAGGACCCTGGGATCACAACCTGAGCCCAAGGGAGACGCTCAACCACTGAGCCACCCAGGTGCCCCACATATGCATATTTTAGTTAGAGCCCCAAATTAATGTTTAGAACTAAAATCAGTTAATCTAAAAATCACACATGTGATGTGCTCCACGGAAGAAATCTGTATAACCTGAAGACACATTCTATGTTGTTAAACTTGAAATTTTGTCACAAGGGAAAAGGTCTGACACTCCATTAAAAGGTTAGATTGCGGGCAGCCCCAGTGGCGCAGTGGTTTGGCACCGCCTACAACCTGGAGTGTGATCCTGGAGACCCGGGATCGAGTCCCACGTTGGGTTCCCTGCATGGAGCCTGCTTCTCCCTCTGCCTGTGTCTCTGCCTCTCTCTCTCTGTGTCTGTGAATAAATAAATAAAATCTTAAAAAAAAAAGGTTAGATTGCAAAAGAGAGAAGGTCTTCAGAGAGAGAGAGGAGAGAGCGCGCATTTTCTGATTAACAGGACGCCTGGGGGGCTCAGCGGTTGAGCATCTGCCTTCAGCCCAGTTCCAGTGAATTCTGATTCACAGGAACCTGGAGGCTTGTGAGCTGCCCCAAAAATGTTTTGCAAATTCCTTTCATTTATCAATTTTCAGTTGAGGAAAATAGAAAGTGGGCAAAGTTTGTCTTATGCAATCTTGACCCTTTTTTGGATCCTTTGCCTTTTGAGCAATTTTCTAATCGTAAAACCCGTGACCGAGAACATGGATGGTGGAGCCAGCCAGATCCAGATTTGAATCCAGATTTGAATCCTGATTCTATCACCTAGAGGCGGGGGGGGGGGGGGGGGGGGGGGGGGGGGGGGGGGGCTTGGGACAAGTCAATTAAACTCCGTGTTGGTTTCTTCATTTGTAAACTGGAAATCACAACAGCAATCACGTTATGAGGGCCGTGCAAGAATCAAGTGAGACAATGAGGCCTTTGAACATAATTGGTAGCAGTCGTAAGTGCTCAGTAAACAGTGTTTCCAGGCTTCCCTCCCCTTCTCTAGCCGGTTCCTTCCCTCCTGGTCTCTCCTGCTGCTCTCCTTGATAGGAGTGAAGCCCTAGGACCCTGCCAAGGGTGGGGTGGGTGTGATAAGCGTGGAATGAAGTAGGATTGGGTTAGGTGCACCCCACCCTTCTCGCAGCACTGCTCCCAGACCTGCACGTCTCAGCACCAGGCTCACTCTCAGAGCTTTTGGGTAATGCAGATGCCCAGGCCCCCCTCAAACTAGGCGATCAGAACCTCGGTTGCCTGACGGAGAAAAGCTCTACAAGAGATTCGGGTGGCCACCAAGGAGGTGATCTCTGGTCACAGGGTTTACCTCAGGCACGGCCTCTCCACTGATCTTTCCTGGACCTCTAGTCCCAGAAACACATTTCTATGTTCTCTCACAGCAACTCTCCAAAATACATGGTTCTTTCTCAGCATTTGCCATGTTAAACTGAAATCATTCACTTGCCGATTGGTCTTCCTCATCAGACTTTGGACTTCTCAAAGACAAAAGCCACCATCTTCTCATCTTTATTCCTTCCCTGCTGGCCCAGGTTCCACACAGATGCTTGCCCACAGGGAGTGCTCAGTAAACGTTGCTAAACTGGCTCAATCCGCTATTCATCTGATTTAATCCCTGTAACATCTCTGAGAAGTGGAAATAATTCTTCAGACTTCACAGATGAGGACCTGAGGCCGGGGAATCTAAAGGCCCTGCCCCAAATCACAGAGCTGGGATCAGAGTCCAGGCTCTTCATTCCAAGAATTGCACTGTGGCAGCCTGGTAATCGGCATGGCTCCTTGGAACGATGCAAGCTGGCCAATGTGAAGGGGCAAAGAGTTCTGGGTCTGCCCTATTACCTTGATACGCAAGTGATGATACCTTTTTACTGGAACTCGGGTGTCACACGTTGTCACATGTAAATGAAAATAGTTCACTGCCAACAAAATACACCTTTTGAGTTAGGAAGCTCCCAAGAAACAGGTTCGGTTCTGGAAGCCTGCTTATAAGTGTGTTTGTTAAATCCAGGGTGACAGTTGATCTACTACACAGCTATGTAACGTATCACAAAAGAATTACAAATATTAATAGAGTTGGTTCTGTTTTGTTTCTTTTCAACCAATTAAAAAATGTAGCTGAAGATATTTTCACCTTTTGGATGTCTTTTTTTCAACATAAATAAATTTTAGGTTACTGCTTCAAAGGCCCTCATACACAAACACCTGGACAAACCAGCACACAAGAGCCACACTAAAATGACAACTGAAAAGCTGTAAGTGGGGGCACTTCTGAACACAGGCTCATGCGGAGCCATACGCAGCACTGGTCTTGGGTGCAGGGTCATTGGCAGGCATCTGATGACTTTTCTATGAGGGCTCCATACTTCTGAAAGGACTTTGTTCTTTTTAGCCTCTGTTAGAGCCTTGTGAGCCACAGGACATGATCTCTGCTTGGGGCCATAGTGGGGGAGAATGTGCTTTATTTGATGCGTTCTAGGGCCAAGTATATGATTGCCCGAGTTTCTAGAAAATCTGGAATGAGTGGACTATTTCAAAGGTAAGGCCCCACTTTATTTTTTATTATTTTTTAAAGATTTTATTTGTTTGAGAGAGAGTGAGTGCAAGAACAGAGGGAAGGGGCAGAGGGAGAAGGAGAAGCAGACTCCCTGCTGAGTGGGGAGCCTGACAGAGGGCTTGATTCCAGGATCCTGGGATCATGACCTGAACTGAGGCAGATGCTTAACCGACTGAGGCACCCAGGCATCCCCAGGTTAAGGCTCCACTTTAAAAGGAACTTCTTGGGTGGTAGACCGTGGATGCTGTGGCAGTGGATCAATGCACAAACCCCCTCTTTCATTTCAACTCCACCCCTGTCAATAAGCCAACTGTTGATAAACTTTCCCTAAACCCCTGCCCAGTCCACGAGTCCATAACAGAAAGAACATGAGAATCAGAGCGCGACAGATATGGGTTCATGTCCCAGCTTCCCTAGTTGTAAGGGTCTTCCTTATCGCTGATTTTTTCTAATTGATAAATGGGAACCACATTTTTATAAAATATATGGGACATACAACACTACGTACACCGCAGGATGTTGTACAAAACGTGACTGCCATTTCCAGCAGACAATAAATAGCCCAAACAGCTGGAGATCCCCTAAGAAAAGCCTGTACTTACAGTTCTAAAATCAGGATATAGGATGTAGGGGACTCATAGGTGTCATGGAGAGTGATGTACTGGGGGTGCTGCAAGTGCTGAAGCAGGGCAGCCTCGTGGGCAGCTTGCTCTTTTTTCTTCATTTTTTTGCTGACAAATTTCACGGCGACATCCTTGCGGGTAGCCTTGTGAATGCATTTCTTTACTATGGAGAAACGGCCTCTGGAAGGCGAAAGGGAGAAAGCATGTTGCTAAGCTTCATCAATCAAGTAGGTCTTGTTTATTCAAGGATGCATGAAGTTTTATCTGAAATGGTTACACTAACATTTTTATTAGGAATCCTACTTTCCTCCTTTTAAATTATAATGTTATCTTTCAGAAAGGCCATGTTTTGCTTCCTTAGCATTTCAGGGTTCTTTGAGATGCGGAAAACTAATATCGTTTTTAGTCAATAGATTTCTCCATCACTTTGAACAACCACCACGGGGTCAGTTTTCTAAGCAGAGTATATTTCTCTAAAATACAACAATAATAATAATGTTAAAGAAGGAGGAATTCTACTCTGATAATTTCAAAGACTTTTTTTTTTCAAAGACATTCTCTAAAAAGACAAGTTTTCATTTTTTTCATATTATCTTGGTATTATTTATTATCTTGGTATTTATTATCTTGGTATCTTCCTAATATACACAAAAGTAGAGAGAATAATAGATCTGTGCACCCAGCATCCAGCTTCAATAATTATCAACATTTTGCCAACTTTATTCCATCTATTCCTTTCCTACCTCTTGCCTTTCCCTGTAGTATTTTTAGCAAAAATCCAGATATCATGTTATTTCACTCATAAATACTTCCGTTTGCATTTCTAATTGACAAGGACATTTAAAAATGTATAACCACCATGTCATCTTCACATCTAACAAAATTAGCCAGACCTAAAATAGAATGGTTCCCAGACTCAGCTGCAGCCCAATAGGAGCTAGTAAGAAAGTGAATTAGAAGGGGAACTGGTCAGCAATGGGACCAGAGAAAGGGAGTCAGAGGTGACAAGCAGTGCCACCCTAGGCCTGTCCCTGAGGCACCCTGACCCATGAGTAGAGGAGTCAAGAGTCCATCCCTCTAGGGGAAATGGCTGCATCCAACACCATGGGCACCACGAAGATTGTCCAACTGACTCCTTGACCTCGCTCTGTGCTCACCAAGTAACTTTCTGACAATAATGTTTTTCTGTGATAGATTTTCACTAAAGAAGAGAATATGCCAATCAATACTAATTGATTAGCAAATACTAATTGAATGCCCATTATACAGAAGACGTTATTCTTTTTGCACAGTAAGCAAATATTTGGTCAAACTGATAGTTCTATATCATAAAATAATAAATTACTTTTTTTTAAAAAAAAGTAATCTCTATGCCTAATCTGGGGCTCCAACTCACGATTCTAAGATCAAGAGTTGCATGCTCCACTGACTGAGCCAGCCAGGCACCTCTTCATTATGTTTTTTGTTTTTGTTTTGTTTTGTTTTTTTGAGATTTTATTTATCTGAAAGCCAAAGAGGGAGAGAGCACGAGTGTGGGGAGGAGGAGAGGGAGAGGGACAAACAGACTCTGCATTGAGCCCAGAGCCTGAGGCAGGGCCCAATCTCACTACCCTGAGATCATGACCTAAGCCAAAGACAAGAGTGAGGCGCTCAACCACCTGAGCCACCCAGGCACCCCCATTCTGGCTTTTAACAGCACTCTCTTGTTTGATTATCAGAGGTCACTCCTTCCAGAGGACTTTGGATGCATGAAAACAATCGAATGCTAAGGAGAGCTCGCCTGAACTGAGTGGCCATGTTCAGGTGCTCCTATATCTCAATTTTTAAAAAGGGTTTTATTTATTTATTTGAGAGTGAGAGAGTTGGGGCAGAGGGGGAAGCAGGCTCCCCACTGAGCAAACAGCCTGATGTGGGCTTGACTCCAGGACCCCAGGATCATGACCTGAGCCAAAGTCAGCTTAACTGGCTGACCCACCCAGGTGCTCCTGTACCTCAATTTTTTTAAAAAAACTGTGCTTATCGAAGTTATGCATCCCCATGATTTAAAAAGTCAATTAGCTTTAAGGTTTCTTATTAAAACAAATAGTATCCCATCCTCCCACCCTCATTTTCCTCACCTAAATGGCAGTTTAACATACTAATTATATTTTAGCCTATTGTTTGGGTAGTCTATGTCTGTGTGGCTAATTCTTGGTGCTTGACACCAACTCTGGAAAGGGAGATGTTATCCTCTCTCCCCTCCCTGTCCCCATGACATGGCCACTTTCTCCATCCCCTGTCCTCCCAGAATGATATTTTAATCAATATTCAGGGTTTCCGTTATTGCAACTAGGTCAGGGGCTATTCACAGTTGAAGCTCAGTAAACTACAAATATTTTCCTTTTCGTGATAGAATTCAGTCCTCATTTCTGACAAAGAGTGCTCCTTCTGAGGACCACTCCAAGATTAATCTGGGACTAAGAAGTCTGCAGGGTAACTGCAGAGTAACTGAGTGGTGGTTTATATCGTAGTTCAGTCCTCAAAGCCTTGCTCAGCTTCGGTGCTTTGTCTTCTATCTCTGCACAGCTTGAAAGCAGCCCAGGATTTGTGTTGTTCCATGCACAGAATCAGGGGATCTCCTTCTTTGGCTCTTCTCATTGAGATTTCCCACACATTCTTTGGCTCCCATGGGCCCGTCTTTCTAGATGGGATTCCTTCAGAGTTTTAGCTTCTTGCTTAAGCTAAAGCAAGGAGACAAAGAAGGGAGGCAGGGAAAGGCATTTTCCTCCTTTGTTCAGCTTGAAGGGGATCCTCTTTCCTGCCTTTTGGCCAGAACGATGGGTTTCTTTTGGAGCTGCTCCCTGTGCATGCTGCTCAGTTCCCTAGTTTGGCCCACCCTTAGGTTAAACACAACAAACTAACCAGAGAATTCACTGCCACTGTCCTGGACTTGCTTCAAGTTTTTTTTTTTTTTAATTTTTACTTATTTATGATAGAGAGAGAGAGGGAGAGAGAGAGAGAGGGAGGCAGAGACACAGGCAGAGGGAGAAGCAGGCACCGGGAGCCCGACGTGGGACTCGATCCCGGGTCTCCAGGATCGCGCCCCGGGCCAAAGGCAGGCGCCAAACCGCTGCGCCACCCAGGGATCCCTTGCTTCAAGTTTTAACTGGGCTCCCTATTCTCCCTGTTATTTGCTTTTCAGAATCTTGAGGTAGTTGCTTTTTGGTATTTTGTCCGGGGATTCTGGTTGTCATCAGTGGGACAGATGGGCTACCATGGGCTTACTGTCTACCTTGGCCGGCTCTGAAGCTGGCTCACTCTAAAAGCTGGAGACTGAACAGTGTTTGGAAGCTTTGAGTGTGGGGGGTGGAGCCTGTCAGCTCGACCCATCACTGTAGGGTGGATCTGAGTGGATGGTTTAGTTGGGAAAGCTCCAAAGTCAGTATCTTTAAGACTTTTTTCTTGGGCTGGCCAGATTTCCCAGAGAAAGATCCTCCTACTTCCTGCCTGGGCAGAGAAGCCCCAATTGTCCGCTTGTAGAAGCTGAGTGGCTAAGAAAGCTGGGGTCCCAAAGATCCAGCAAGGATACAGTCTCATAACGGGCCTGTCTGCAGGGAGGTTCTGCTGCCCCGCACTGTGCCAGCGTCCCTGAGAACAGAGGCACTTGGTTTTACCCTGTCTGGAGAATGGACGTCCAGCCCTTTCCTGGATGGGGTGGGACAGTCCTACAGCTGCCTGCAGCTGGAGAGGAGATCTGGAGCCACAACCTCGCACAGAGCTTCAGCCCATCCTTTCAATTTCAGCATCGTCTTTACACCACTTTGCCAAGGTACTCGACGCTGCCAGGACCCAGGCCTTTGAGGAATTCTGCTGCAGAAGTTGCACTGGCTCTTACTTGACCCCACAACTGACTTGGAATTAGTTCCCCAGGTCTCCTAGGTCATTTGTCACTCTCTCACTTGTTTTCTGCTTGGATTGTGTTACTGTAGTTGTCTCTCCTTCCAGTGTCCTCCTCCTCACGTGCCTGATCCTTTAGTGGGAAAATTCCTTTAGTGGAGATTCAGTGATTCACAGATGGCCGTGGTCAACTTGCAATCCTGCCCTGGCCCTCCTACTTTTTTGGATCATGTAACAGGTAACCAGTCAGTATTCCCAGGGGACAACTCTCTGGCTTCTTTACATTGCAGTGGTGCCCATCTAGCTCATTTCGGGCTAACCGTGCCATGCTCAAATGCTCTTTCCTTCTGTAGATGGACTTCAGGAGTGAAGGTATTTCTTTTGCACCATCGTTTTTATAATACTTAATTACCAGAGAGCCATTTTTAACAATATAGTCCTATAGGCCCAGAATTTTAGGTTTAAGTGTAATAGAGAAAGTTGACTCACTTTTATGGCTCACAGATACCTTTCGTGTGTCTCACATAAGTATCTATGTGTTTTATTTCCCTTCTATTAACATACAGTATTTTTGAAGGATCTTCTGAAAATACGAGGATTCTACTTGGAGGAGGGAAAAACCTTCAGATTGTTGCGGATGAGATTAAAAAAAATCAATTGTTTTGAACAGATCAGAAACTTGATCTCACCTTTGGGAAATACTAAAACATGCACCTCTTCTAGCTAAAACATGACTTAGCCTACGGCTATCAACAACAAATGCACGTCTTGGGAAGGAATTCAGTGGTGCATCTAGGTGATATAAGCAGTTTCATTTAGAACCAGGTGGGGATTATACTAGAATCATACCTAGCTTCACAAAACTTCAATACAATGGGGCAAACTACATTTTAATTGCTAGAGCTTATTTTTTGACAAAAATTGCTACAGCGAGTGACCACATATGCTGGTAAAACAAACACAGGCTTCAGAATCGGGTAGCTCAAGGTTGGAACCTTGGCTCTACACTTACTAGTTGCGGGACCTCAAAATCATTACATAACAAAGCCTGGGATCTTTTTCCTGGAAATCTACTCAACCACCACCTCACGGTGTGGTAAGGATTAGATTAAACACATCCCTATAATATCTGTATAGTATTTGGAACACTATAGATACTCAATAAGCATCATCATCAACATCGTGTAAATTTCCATTGGCCTTTTTTATTCCTCCCTCTGTCCTCACAAAGTAGAGTGAAGGTTGGTTTTTGAAGAAAGGTATTATGATGAAAGGTCATGAATTACATTGTGACTCCTACCTAAGAAATGGGAAAGACAAACATTTGGGCTCTCTCCACAATCTGTCACAATTCCCCCACTTAGGAAATTTTATGCTTCATTGGGAGATGTCAATCAGAGGCACAGATGATGGTAATGGCCCACCGTTAGTGGGTGCTCTTTTCTTTATACATCCAGGGAGGGTGGAGGACTTCCAAGAGTTATCCACCTTCTCACCTAGACCATGTGCAAACTAATGCACACATAGAGATGAACCTCCTTTTTGTTTCTTTCCATCAACTATTTTTAGACAGGTGACAGATTTTTTTTCATTCTTTCATTAAAAGTCATATTTTTATCTTTTTATTTTTGAGGACACACCTTTCTAACCAAACTAGAGAGAAAGAGAGGTTGTGTGTGTGTGTGTGTGGAGGGGGGTAGGGGGGTACCAGACTGAAAATATCCATAAAACAATGTGATTGGGCTTGACATATGGACATATATAGAGACCTGAACCAAGAATTAGTGGTTATACCTTCTTCTCAGGAACACATGGAACTTCTAATGAAAAACTGACCACGTACTGCAAATAAAGCAAGTCCCAACAAAAGTCAAAGGGTCAGCATCATATAGATCAAGTTCCTCAACTACAACGTGATTAAGTTAGAAATTAGTAACAAGAAGATAATTTGTAAAAACCTCACAGTTGGAGATTTTAAAATACTTCTATTACAATTAGGTCAAAGAAAAATCACAGTTGACCTAAATGATAATGAAAGTGCCACGTATCACAACTCAGGAGCCGTTGCTAAAATAATACTTTGAAGAGAAGTCTGGGACTTAAATTCTTATATTAGAAGAGAAGAAAGGCTGACAGTTAATGAGTGAATCCTCTGACTTAGTGTAAAAAAAAAAGAGCAATAAAAATACACACAAATGTTCTAATTTTTTCTTACTCTAGCAAGAATACACTTAGTAAGGAAAACAACACTAAAAGCAAGTCATTATTCTGATGTGATGATGTTAAGTGCTCACTAACGAAGGAAGTGAAAACAAGGTCATTACCTTCCAATTTCATTCAGCTCAGTATAAGCTGAATCAAAATTTTCCTTCCAAGAAATGGTGGCACCATCAGCAGCAGCATCTTTGGAAGAGAGAGAATCCATTTATACTGAGGAAGTCATACAAGAATAAAGAAAAGGTCAACAGAAAAGCTCCTGCATGGCCCCAAAGCAATTCTCGTGACCAAATACGGAGTCTAACTCAATGGGAAAACGCCAGGATTCTCTGAAATGTGATTTAAAAAAATATCATCAAAGGGGGAGCTGCCAGGACAGAGTCAGCAACCCCCTCAAGCCCCCCACCCCTGTGCCATCTACAGAAACAAAAGAAAACTTGGGACAATTAGAGATGTAACCTCTGGGTATTTTAAAATAGAAATTTGATAGAAAAAATTAAGAGAAAGAAAAACGCATGGAAGGTCTAGAAAAGCCAGTGAGAATCAGGGCTGAGGGGGCACGCAGCAGAGGTTACGGGACGAGTTACAGGCCCAGAGCGGGGAAGGAGAATGTGCTCAGAACCTCCTAACCACGGTCATGGTCACTCTGCTGTGTCAGTGAGGGCTCCTGGCGCTCTGAATGATTTAGCTTAGCCCCAAATACAGGCCTGAGCACAACGTGTGGCAGCAATACCTTGTATGATGTGCTCACTTCACACACATGCACACACACACAAGCACGCACACCAAGACGTATTTGTGCTGTCCTGGGGACCAAGTCTCACAAGGTGCAAAACAGGGCAGGATTTAGTCAGCGGCTTGGGAGGCAAGGACCCAGGGCTCTTCCGACCCGGACACCCTCAGGCCACCCAGAGCACAGCCAGGCTCACGCTCAGGTGCCTGTGTCTGTGGAGTTCTGATGAAACAGAGACCCAGGGCCCAGGGTTCCCAGCGAGTCATGGGTCCAAGGGAGCAAAGCCGCTGGGAGGGAGCTGAGCCCCTGGGGACAGCCCCTCCCAGACCCAGGTAGGGGACAGGGGCTGGGCGGTAGCTGAAGGCCCTAGAAGGCTTGTGAGGCCGCCCTGGACACCCTGGGATCCCCTTAGCCCAGAAACACACAGGCTTGTGGTCTCTCCAGGGCAGTGACCTCCTCCACCCCGACACACACGGGCCATCCCCTCGTGCCAGCACGGAACCCCAAACTACTTGGGGATTTCTTCAGGCTGACAAGTGTGCTCTTCCAAAATGTTCTTGGATGGGCGGCCCCGGGTTAGTGCCGCCTGCAGCCCAGGGCGTGATCCTGGGGACCCAGGATCGAGTCCCATGTCGGGCTCCCTGCGTGGAGCCTGCTTCTCCCTCTGCCTGTGTCTCTGCCCCTCTCTCTCATGAATAAGTAAAAAAACCAAAATGTTCTTGGGACCAAGGTGGCTTGCTGAGACAGTGAACAGGTGGGATTTGTAAAATACTCACCCTAGCTAGTTGTAGGTGTATCTAAATTATCTGACATGTCTACATAAAAATGTACTCATCCTGAGGAGCGCCTGGGTGGTTTCGTTGGTTAAAAGTCGGCCTTTGACTCAGGTCATGATCCCAGGGGCCTGGGATGGGGCCCCGGGTGTCAGGCTCCCTGCTCAGAGAAGAGCCTATTTCTCCTTATCCCTCTGCCCCTCTCCCCACTCACATGCATGCTCTCCCTCTCTCAAATAAACAACAACAACAACAAAAAAAAAATCTAAAAAACAAAACAAAAAACATATCCACCTTGAAGAAAGACATTCTGGGAAGGCTGGGTATGGGGAAACTATCAAATACTCATTTTGATTCAGATCTTTCAACTGGGTTGCTTTTGTCTCCCCAGTTTAAGTGGTGAATGGGGCTGTCTGAGATGCTGCGAGGCTCACTCCTGCCAGGAAGGGGTTCCCAGGGGAGGGGACGTTGGGTGTTCCCACCTAGGAAAGGGGGCAGATAGCATCCAGGTGACTCCTGACTCCTGCCAGCCCCTCTCTGTCCCTGGAGACGTACTCAGGTGCTCAGGGACCCTGGCAGGCCCAGCGTAGACACGGTTGCAGGACCGGGGTGGGGGTGGGGACCTCACTTTTGCTCCGGGTGAAAAACCAGACTTTTCAGCAGGTGTCTGCAACTGACGCTGACTTGAGTCCCTCAAGCCTCTTACTTGGCTGAGCGGCCGGCCCATCCAGGTGGCCCCACCTGGCCAGGTGCCCACCTCCGTGCCCCGGGGAACCCCATCCCGGGGACTCACCGTACTCCGGGAGTCGCACGAACTCCGAGGGCTCGCTGGGAAGGCTGATCCCCCAGGGGTTACTGGCGCTGACTCTGAACTGATAGGGGCTCCCGGGGCTGAGGTCCTCGATGACCAGGTAGGTGTCCAAGGTCGAAGCCACCGACTGCTGCCAGGCCTGGGAACCTAGTGCGCGATTTCCGAGGAGCGGGAAAGAGAAAAAGCCAGGGGGACATCGTTGCAGAGGCCTTCGGCAAGCAAATAAAGGGACGTCGACGCACTGCATTCAAGGAACAGTTGTGCTTGCTGCCTGGGTCACCTGCGGCCCCGCGGCCAGGCTGTTCCCCGCGGGGCGCTGACGCAGTGGGGGGGCCGCAGAGGGGGCGAGAAGGCCGAGATCGTGCAGGACTTACCGAAGGACGCGGCCACTTTTTAACAAGGCATACAAATGTGTTATAAATAACAAGATGAAATAAAATACGCATTTGGAAGTGGAAACAGAGGGGAGCCGGCCAGGCCCCAGCACTCCACACGTGAACCACACCGTGTAAGGCGGCTGCGTAACCCTCTCCTTTCACCTTCACTAGCAGAATCCCGCGGGGTTGGGACCATGGGAAACTGAGGCTCAGAAAGATGAGATGATTTTCCTCAAGCCAAGTGGCATGATGGGCTGAGAGCTGAGCCAGCTGCAGAGTACTAGCTTTGCAGACGTGTCCCCTGGCTCAGCGCGACCCCTTCTGGGCCAAGATGGGGAGACCCAAGAGCGCAGCAGCTTCACAAAGATGCAGAAACCATCAGCTTTGTTGCGTAGACGAAAGAAGAGTTGAAATACTCTGAGTAGTGGCGAGTAAAACAAGTGATTTGGGTTCTGGGCACCAACAATTGCTGGAAATTCAGCTGCGTAATTCCCCATGTGGTTCAGGGACGTGCTGTTAACAACCAGAGTCACCGGCAGCCTCTCGTGTAACGATTCTTGCTAATAGGCCACAGGTTTGGGTGCTTCTAACTGCCGATGAAGGTGTGCACCCTTAGCAGGTAAACATAACGAATTTACAAAAACGAACGGTTTTTAAGAATCATTATACGCGCGTATGTATATAAAATTTAGAGGTCACACAAAATATATATGAGATCTATATTAATATATGTGATCTCTAAATTTCATCTGGGGGTGGGAGGTAAAGCCCTGCTCGTGCTACCCTAGTTACCACTCCGCGGGAAGGATCACGAGCCAGTGAAGTTGACACCTGGGTCTAATGCCCACCCTGCCTCTTAGGAACTCCTGTCTCATGTTCCTTAACTTTCTTTAGGCCTTAGCTTCCTCATCTGTAAAATGGGCCTGATTGCCCCATTTGTCTGGGTGATGGGGCTTATTAAGGACAGAAATGCACGCAGAGGCAGGCAGGAGGCCTGCCACATGTCATTATCACTTTGGCAAAAACGCCTGCTTGAAGCTACAGATCAGAAGGAGGCTGTAGTCTGGCACGGAGGTCTTTACACTCAGTTGGAAGACACAGGAAGGAATAGGATGGAGGGCATGGAAGCAAGTAGTTTAGGACTCTGAAGGGCCTCCTTTTGAGAAAGAGAAGAAAAAAAAGAAGAGTGGGGGAAGCCAGCGCACCTTCCTCTCTGTACTCCACGGTGTAACCAGAAATTGTGCAGTTGCCCGTGCTGGAGGGAGGCAGCCAGCGGAGGATCACGGAGGTGCAGCTTCTCTCCTGGGCAATGGGGCGGTTAGGGGCCGCTGGGACACCTTCGGGACAGAAATTATGGTCAAGTGCTATTCCTGCAGGTCGTGGCATTTTACACCAAGGTTGCACATTACCTAGGAAACCATACCCTCCCCGTGTCTCAAATTTTTTCTCTGGCCTTCTTCACCAAGGGGCGTACCTTTCCCCAGGCCCTGGAGAGGCCCGGCAGATACACCTGGGGGCTAGGAGTTCTTCCTTGGGCTAAAGACTGCACGCTGGACGTAAAGCTTGGCTGGGGAGCCATGCAGGAAGGCATGGGGGGCCGCAGGAAGCTCTCAGCGAAGATTCCTTCTCTTTGCCTTTGCTGGACCTTTACTTTGGGATTTCACAATGGACCTTTTGTTCCCCAGGTCCCAGGGAGCCCTTGTAACGTCCACTTAAAATGTTTGATTAACACAAATTCATAGAAACAGGAAATAGAAAGGTGGGTGGCTGCCAGGGACAGTGGGGAAAGGGAACGGGAGCTGTTATTGAATGGATATGGGATTTAGTTTTGCAAGAGAAGAGTTCCAGGGATTGGTCATACAACAATACGAATGCACTCAACACTACAGGATGTATACTTAATATTGGTTAAGATGCTAAATTTCACAAGTATTTTACCATAATAAAAAAATATTTTAAAAGTCTAAAAAGCATTAGACTAGCAAAGAGCCTGTACCTTGCACTTTAACCGTAGCAGATGTAGACGTGGTGCCGTGGTCATTTGTTGCTATGCAGGTATAAATCCCACTGTCTTGGGGCATCAGATTGCAGATCTTCAGGGTGATTTCTCCCGAATCACTAGAGATATCCAAAGGATGCTCTTCAGACTCCAGGAATGAGACCATTGACTGCTGGGTAAAATCCCATAGAGTGGACACACGGTGCGCTGAGCTGAATCCTCAGGCCCAAAGTATTCTCCGGCTCTGACTTGCCCAACACACCTTGGGGGATCCCCTTGTCTTTCTATGCTCCCATTTCTTTGTGGGGGCAAATTCTTGCCACCCTCATCTCCCATGTTTGTTGTATATAGGGTACAGGGATAGAAAAGGAATGCAATGAGAGAAGAATCAGAAAATGGTTTGAAATCTATAAAGTCTGACACGATATTACTGGTTTTATTACCACTAGCAACTTTGTCCTAAAATATTCTCAGCCTCACACATCAGTAACAAATGGTACAAGAAAATGGAGGGGTGGGACGCCCGGGGGGCTCAGCGGTTTAGCTCCTGCCTTGAGCCCAGAGCATGATCCTGGGGTCCTGGGATCGAGCCCCACATCGGGCTCCCTGTGTGGAGCCTGCTTCTCCCTCTGCCTGTTCTCTACCTCTGTGTGTGTGTGTGTGTGTGTGTGTGTCATGAATAAATAAATCTTTAAAAAAAAAGAAAAGAAAATGGAGGGTTATCTGGGTGGTGCAGTCGGTTAAGCATCTGACTTGGTTTCGGCTCAGGTTGTGACCTTGGGGTCCTGGGATTAAGCCCCATGTTGGGCTCCGTGCTCTGCACAGAATTTACTTAGGATTTTCTCTCCTCCTCCCTCTGCCCTCACCCATGCTCTTTTTCTTTCTAAAGTGGATGAATAAATCTTAAAAAAAAAAAGAAAAGAAAATGGAATGACTAAGAATGAAGATGTTTAAGTATTTCAAACTCTACTATGGGACCCTCAAAACAATTAAGTGAATTAAGGAAAGGACACATTTCACCACTAAATGCTAACTTCCCCAGTAGTCCCAATAGGGGGTCCAGGATATCACAAGGGAAACACTGCTCAGAAAGGGTGAAATGCAGCAATTATGGTCAACCCCACTCCCTCCCCACAGCCTGCTGCCTTCTGGATCCTCACCAAGCACTGACTCTCACACCAAGTTCCAGGGGTCTGCTGATCTTAGGACCTGGACATCCCTGGCCATCTTTGCTGGGCATACCATTTCATATGAACAAAAAATTTTTTTAAAGATTTTATTTATTTATTCATGAGAGACACACAGAGGCAGAGACACAGGCAGAGGGAGAAGCAGGCTCCATGCAGGGAGCCTGACGTGGGACTCGATCCCAGGACTCCAGCATCACACCCTGAGCCAGAAGGCAGATGCTTAACCGCTGAGCCATTCAGGTGTCCCCATATGAACAAAAATTAAGTTAATGGATGGGAGTTTGATTCTAGATGATTCTTTGATAAATGCTTAAGCACTTAGGGCTTGCTACTGCTTGTGCACTGTAAACAGCAGTACGCCATAAAGTTCACCCTCGGTGCAATAAATAATAACAGAATGATTCGGAGGCAATCAAGTTGTTTTTGTTTTGTTTTTTACAAAAACAGCCTTTCTGTGTAGAAGCATGTTTATGGCTGGATTTTGTGTTTAACATTGCATATTTTGGAGCGAGTCTTTTTTTTTCCCCCTTCTTCTATGGAAATTGTTCTTAGGCTAATGGAGGAATTAAATAGATCACTGTTTCATAGGACCCCTGAGGGACACAAAGGGAGCAGGATATTGGGATGTGAGACCCACATCCCATCCATAGGTCTGGAGTCTTTGCCTCTACTGCTGACATTGGGGATCCTTCGGGAAAGATCAACCAATCAGGTGAATGTAAGTCAGTGACTGTCAAAGCTCTTTGATGGTATGGTTTATGCTTGACCTGAGATATAAAGGTTTATGTCTCTATTTGTTGAATGTGGGTCTAGAATACAGTCTTTCCAAACTATTCGTGTAGGTTCAGGTGTGTCTGTGTGATGCTGAGCAGCGTGTGACCCTGTGCTGCGCATCACCCAGCTGTCTGACAGCTCAGTGGCAGGCTGCAGTGAGTGGTGGGGGCCGTGCCCACAGCTCCCAGCCCCGATGCACGGCTGTGTGAGAGCACTATCTCAAGAGCACGCTTTCATGAGCTGCCCATGTTTTCTTTTTTTTTTTAATTTTTTAAGATTTTTTAAAATTTATTCATGAGAGACATAGAGAGAGAGAGAGAGAGAGGCAGAGACACAGACAGAGGGGGAAGCAGACTCCATGCAGAAGCCCGATGTGGGACTCGATCCCAGGTCTCTAGGATCACGCCCTGGGCCAAAGGCAGGCACTAAACCGCTGCGCCACCCAGGGATCCCCGCCCGTGGTTTTTGACTCAATTTCTCTCCTAGCCAAGGCCAAGTATTTGTGCCAGAATAAGCTCCAAAGCAGCTGTCCTCCCGCAGAGGCTAGGTAACCCGAACAGCAGCTGCCCCAAGGTGCTGGGGGTGTCCACGTGGGGCGATCCACTTACCAGGAGGAGACTGTGTATGTGGCCGAACTGTTGTCAGTGTCAAGGATGTTCTGGTCTGGCCCCTTCCAGGTGATGGTGGGCTTTGGCCGTCCACAGACTTTGCACTGCAACGTCACTGTGTCCCCGAGCAAGCAGGTCACATCCACCAAGGGTACAAGGAACTCCGGGGCCACTGTGGTCAAAGCGACGTAAATCAACATTTAGAACAAACAGAACAAATAGTCATTTTGCAACACAACCTTCTCATCCCCCCACCCCATGTGTGATGATTCAAATAACCTTCAGCTTAATACTGTTGGACCATCCCTGTCCCATTAAGAAGTATCTTACAGGGATCCCCGGGTGGCGCAGCGGTTTGGCGCCTACCTTTGGCCCAGGGCGCGATCCTGGAGACCCGGGATCGAATCCCACATCGGGCTCCCGGTGCCTGGAGCCTGCTTCTCCCTCTGCCTATGTCTCTGCCTCTCTCTCTCTCTCTCTCTCTCTCTCTCTCTCTCTCTGTGACTATCATAAATAAATAAAAATTAAAAAAAAGTATCTTACAAATAGTAAATGTTTATCGTAGAAAATCAGGAAATACAGATAAAGGAAGGAAAAGCTCCATGATGTCCTGGTACAGAGGTTCCTACTGTGAACATTTTGGTCTAATCCACACACTTTCGGCTTTAATCCACACACATTTTCTTCCACAAATCATACATGTTGCAAGTTGTGGTCTTTTCCACCCCAGCAGTGTATCCTAAACACCTTTCCTTGTCCATAGCGCGGAACTACCTCACCATTGTGTACGGCCTCTTCCTCACTGATGGACTTGCCACAATTTATTTAGCCAATCCCCATGTTGTCAATCCTACTTTTTAACTCACCTTCTTGGATGAAATTTGGATTTAAGATCTGAAAGACACAAAGAAACAGAAAATTGCTTAAATCCTAAACTAGTAAAAGAGAACAGGAGGTGTGTTTTTTTTTTTTTTTTTTGTTTGTTTTTTTTACCCTAGTGAGTAAAAAGGAAGTACAGTTTAGGGAGATGGAGCCTGGAGTCCAGCCTTTATTGTTTGTGACCGTGTCCCTGTGGCAGTCACGACCCCAGGGCACCTGCTCAGCCTTCCTCTCTACGCTGGTTCTGCACGTTCCTCTGGGCAGCCCAGGGCCCCAGGCAGGTGTATCACGGCTGCAAGCTCTGCTGGCTGCAGCTGGCCTTTCCCTCTCGCATTTCCCTTCCTCAGCAGCTCTTCCTCCAGGTCAGATGTGTAAAGGCCCTGGCCTCCTTCCACAAGCACTCGAGCCAGGCATTGGTGCCGATTCTTCCCGGCATCACGGATTTTCAAAAACAGAGCACCTGATGTGGGCCAAACCGGAAGGGCCGTTGACATTAACCAATGACCTCTAACCCAATGGTTTCCTTCCACATGTAGCCCCCTCCCTCCCAGGAGGGGAATGTTCCCTTCAAGCAGCTACACGCGGGCTTGTCTGGTGGGGAAGGTCCTCCCGTCCATCCTCCCCCCAGCGTGGCCTCCTGTCGCCCAAGCCTCCATGGGGCAACTTGAAAAGCACTGATCTAGGGGGTCTAGTCCTTTCGGCTGCTTAGGTGAGACAGACTCAGGCCAACTAAGCGTCAGTCGCATGACTGGTTGGCAGAGGCACCGCAGGGGCTCTTTACACACACTGTAAAGGCCACCTCATGTCCCCATGGCTTGTCACGGAAGGTGGACTTCTGGCCAACTAGCCATGCCCAAATGTCACCCCTTCTTGATTTTTCTCTCATCTTTTGTTTTATCGCTAATCACACGAGTGCAGGTTCACCCTTGGTGGGGTGAACAAAACATGGATTTTGGAGTCAGAAAGTCTGAGGCTCACCTCCTTTGTTTCGTATGATGATCACTTACGATCTATTATATCATTTTCCTTCCCTATAAAATGGGGATAAATAATACCTGTTGCAAAGTGTTATTGCAGAGATCGAGTGAGAAATATATGTCAAGTGCTTGGCACAATGCTTGACGGATAACAAGCGTTCAGTGACCACTTAAGTAAAGAAAGGTGATCTACTGCCCTACGACCCAGCAATTGCACTGTTGGGGATTTACCCCAAAGACACAGATGCAATGAAACGCCGGGACACCTGCACCCCGATGTTTATAGCAGCAATGTCCACAGTAGCCAAACTGTGGAAGGAGCCTCAGTGTCCATGGAGAGATGATGGATAGAGAAGCTGTGGTCTATGTATACAATGGAATATTCCTCAGCCATTAGAAACGACAAATACCCACCATTTGCTTCGACGTGGAGGGACCTGGAGGGTATTATGCTGAGTGAAGTAATTCAATCAGAGAAGGACAAACATTATAGGGTCTCATTCATTTGGGGAATATAAAAAATAGTGAAAGGGAATAAAGGGGAAAGGAGAAAAAAATGAGTGGGAAATATCAGAAAGGGAGACAGAACATGAGAGACTCCTAACTCTGGGAAACGAACTAGGGGTGGGGGAAGGGGAGGTGGGCGGGGGGTGGGGGTGACTGGGTGACGGGCACTGAGGGGGGCACTTGATGGGATGAGCACTGGGTGTTATTCTGTATGTCGGCAAATTGAACTCCAATAAAGAATAAGTTTACAAGAAAAAAAAAAAAAGAAAGCTGATCTAATTCTAGTCCTTTCCCTTCCACTAAGCAGCCTATTGTTACAGGGGCTTTTCTCTAAGTTTCTGTTGTCAAATTCTTCTCTGCTCCATAACGAAGCCAGACAGCTCACGTGCCTCCCAAATGGCCCATTGCGGCCTTCCTACTCATCTCCCTGTAGCCACTCATGTCCTGTGTGAACACAGTTTCTGCTGCTGCTTCCCTTACGCAGGATCCACGTGAGCCCTTTGGAGCAAGATGCTGTCTTCCCCCTTAGGATTCTCCTTGGCGAACCAATTGCCCACATATACCACTCCGGGTTCCCACGAGGCGAGCTGCGCAAATCTGCAATGCCAACTCTTGGGGCTGCGTGTCTTGAGACTGAGCGCTACGGGGCCCTCTGCTAGTCTCAAAGGTCATGTGCACCACTGCCCGGCCTTCCTTAAAATCAGTGGTTCTCAATCTTTAACCTGGGCAGCTTTAAAAACATCAAAAGACCGATGCCTGGACCTCAGGCCTAAAGATTCTTCTAGTTGGTGTGAGGTGGGGGGCCGGGCGTGAGGATTTTTGAAAGCTGCTTGCAGTGAATCAACAGGCCGCCCTGGTTGGAGGGCAGCTGCTGAGAGCGCCCTCTATCCAAGGGAACTGGCCTCCGGGAAACCAACTCCCTGCCCCTGAGCCTCCTCTGGGGTGGGGTGGAGGTAAGTGGGGGCATCTGGTAGAGGCTGCTTTTCCTACACCTAAAGACCCCCCCCCCCTCTAGGTGAGGAAGCCCAGGGCTGTGGCAGGGGGACAGTCAGGGAACATGGTAGGCAGCAGCACGTCACTCGTGGCAGTGCCGGGGAGGCCACAAAGGTCTCCGCCAGGCTTAGGCGAGGCCGAGAGAAGGACATCTGGACCATCAGCTCACAGTCAAAGAAAAGGAGATAAAGAAGATTTTCTAAATGTTATCAGTGCTTATCACAGGGTGATGAGATCAAGGGCGGCTATTCCCCCGTTCAGAAAACATTGTTACCTCCTCCAGGCCGCTGCAAGATTTTGCAAGATAGACGCCAGAATGGAGGCCCTACCCTGAGGATTTATAAAATGTCTGAATTTTGAGAGATTTTTTTTTTCTTTTTCTTCTTACCTGGGAGTTCCAAAAATCCTGCAGTCAGTGTGTTTCACTTTTGTAATGTTTTTTAAAGGAAAAAAAGGTGGGACACCTGGGTGGCATCTACTTTTGGCCCAGGGAGTGATCCTGGAGACCTGGGATCGAATCCCGCATCGGGCTCCCTGCATAGAGTCTGCTTTTCCCTCTGCCTGTGTCTCTGCCTCTCTCTCTGTGCCTTTCGTGAATAAATAAAATCTTAAAAAAAATAAATAAAGGGAAAAAGGGCACAGTCGGAGCTCCTAGACTGTAGGTTCCTCAAGGACAGGAGCACATTACCCTTCTTGTACCTCAGACCTCTAGCCTGGCTTCTGCTGTGAAATGGGCATTTAATACATGCTGGTCTGTTGGATGAATATTTGATCTTTGTCCTCATTCCAGTTCTTCCAAGAATTGGGAATGGCTCATAAGTAGAATCTGGAACTAGGTCTGGACAAGCTATAAAATAATTACCCCGGGGCATATTACTAATAATATTCGACCAGAACCTGCTTTCTTTTTTTTTTTTTATTTTTTATTTTTATTTATTTATGATTGTCAGAGAGAGAGAGAGAGAGAGAGAGAGAGGGGCAGAGACATAGGCAGAGGGAGAAGCAAGCTCCATGCACCGGGAGCCCGACACGGGATTCGATCCTGCGTCTCCAGGATCGTGCCCTGGGCCAAAGGCAGGCGCTAAACCGCTGCGCCACCCAGGGATCCCCAGAACCTGCTTTCAAACACAGAGGGAAAGCAAACTTTTGGGAAAATGATGAAAAAAAAAAAAACAATAAAATCCATTGCCTGGGAGAAAGGAGGCTCTCAGGGGCCTTCCACATGGGAGGGAATGTAAGCTTCAGCAGCAGACAGAGCACATTGGTCCAGGCCCCAAGCCAGACAGGCTCTCTTGCCTTGGACAACTTTCTTAAGCAGCTTAGGCCTCAGTTTTAGCTGTAAATTGGGGATAATCGTGCCCACGTGAAAGCTCGTTGGACCCAAGGGCTCATTTGTTTGAAGATTTATTGAGCTGCCCGTTGGCTGTGGTCAACAGTGAGCAAGGCTGACATGCCCACCGCTCTCTTTGGGCTGAACCCCTGGGGGGGGGGCGGAGATGGAATTCAGTGACCTCTGCACGCGTCCAGGATGGTGCCTGGCTGATGTTAACGACCAGCCCTCCACAGACACGGAGCCCTGCCTTCTGGCTCATCCCAACGCCCCTGTTAGGACTTTAGGGTAGAAATGATTTGGGAACGCTGCCAGCTTCGTCCAGTGGCCTGTGTGTTCCATCCTGATGGGAATCCACAAGGGAGTAAGACAGTGATTACACAGCAGGAGTGACAGGGAGGAGACAAATGACACATGGAAGAGACAAATGGCACGTTTCTATGTGAACATTTTAAGTGGGGTTTCATAAATCCGCACTGTGGTAGTACTTCCATAGAACAGCACCCCAAACTGCTGTATAGGGAATTTCTTGCCTTTTTCCTCTTTCTCATCACTCCCAACTGCATTCAGGATATTATTAAACAGGCACATTGTCTAAAATGCAAATCTGGGCGCTGGGAGGCTCAGTCAGTTGAGTGTCTGCCTTCGGCTCAGGTCATGATCCCAGGGTCCTGGGGTGGACCCCGCATCAGACTCCCGCTCAGCAGGAAGTCTGCTTCTCCCTCTGCCTCTGCCTCTCCCTTGTCCCCCGCTCGTGCTCTCTCTCAAATAAATAAATAAAATCTTTTAAAAAATGAAAAAAAAAAAGCAGCTCTTCCTAGTTTGGATGTAGACTTAGTGGGAAGTTGGAGAGAAAGGTTGCCAACAAGCCTTCCTTGCAGGCTCTCTGTCTGGAAGGGGCCGTGGAAGGCATCAGTCTTCATCCCTCTGCCTCTGGCCTGGCCCAAGCGTTGCCGATAATGGTAATAACACCAGTGATTCGTGTAACATTATCTAGTTGGCAGAAACCACTCACAAACTCCTTCATTTGCTCATCCCAAACTCTGGGAGCATGTGCCAAGCAGGTGTTATTTGTTCCCATTTCCAGATGAGACAGGGAAGTACGTGCAAGGTCACACAGTACTCCTTCCGCGCCATCGCATTCCGGGCACAGGCAAGGTCTTGGAAAAGCACTGTGACACTTCGTCATTGATGCCAAAGGCCTCCCT